AACCCCGCCCCCCAAGCAACTGCAGCGTCAGGCCCCCGCAATGGTCCCGACCTGGGCCACACCGCCCGCAGCAAATCGACCCCCAGCAGAAGGACGAGGCGCGCCACCAGGGTGCACGGACGACGGGCCCCACCCAGCCCCCCCGAACCCCGAAGCGCAGGAGCACAGGCCAACCCACAACCCCGCCAGTACCCCCCCAGACTGCCACAGACCCAAACCCTTATCTGCTGCGAGGGTCCAAAGGACAGAGGGATGTTGTATGCTGTAAAGCCCTGTGAGACACATTGTGATTTGTGATATTGGGCTTTATAGATAAAATTGATTGATTGATTGATGCTAATGACAGTACTCAGCGGGTTGACAAAGTGCCTCTGCTGTTTCACATCATCATTTTCCCCTTTTACTCCGTGTGATAACATCCCTAGAGGAAATACTAAAAACTCTGGGATGTTGTTGCCCTACAGTTGTCTATGGCAGCAGATCGTTCTGTGTTTCTACTGGTCAAAGTGACGGCTGTGATGGGAGAATTGGATCTCAGTGAAGGGCATGTGGTCCATAACTTTAATTTTGGAGACAAAAAAATGTAGGCTTAGCGCCCTGTGGTCCAATGCCCAATAGGAAATGTAGAATACTCAAAAGCACTTTAAAAATACTTGAGTTACTTTTCTCAGGGAGTAACATTGGAAGTACTTTAAAGGTACCTGAGTTACTTTTCTCAGGGAGTAACTTTGCAATTTAACTGGTTACTTTTCAAAAAAATAACACAGTAAAGTACTTTGATTACTTTTAAAGTAACCCTTACCCAACTCTGCTAACCAGCATGTATGCTCTGCACTTGCATGTGAGAAAAAACCTCTCCACACCAGCATATCGTGTCAGTCTATAATCCTCATTCAAAAAGGGAAACAGGAAGAGCGTCTCGATGCTACTTAGCCAATTAGCATATTATAGCCAACAAGTTTGTTTTGGTCTCATTCTCTCTGGGCTTTAGTGCTTTGTTTACTTTCCTCACTTCTATTTCTCTTCTCATGCACTAAGCTGAACTGCCAATCAGAGTAATTTCATTCACCAGCTGTCGCCAGACATATAGTACCACACATACTAGTGCGACAGATGCTCACCGATGCCCCAACATTGACCAACCTGTTGGCTTGGTTTGTCGGGGCCATAATGTGTAAAAAAAAAAAAAAACAGCAACAACAAAATTCACAACTACATGTCATTCAGTCTTTGATTCCATGTTTAAGACATGTTTTGACAGACTAGGAGACTGAGTCAGATAGAGCTGTTTGCAGTGTAGCATCAAATGTATGTTGGTCCATTTACACTAATCACAAACATGACATGGACATATGCACAGACTTACTGCTCAAACTCAAAGTGGCTTCAACTAAACATGGACTCAATGGGGGCGAATACTTCTACAAGCATTTATCATGTGTTTTCTGTTTGTAAATAATTTAGGTCAGTTTGTAGGTCGTTTTGATATTTTTATCTTACCCCTCAGTCTGTTTATTCTATGTTGTCAATACAGAAATCTGACTTAATACTTTGATAGAGCATGGCGCATGTACACGAAACACAAACGAACGTGCGCACGCGCATGCACACACACACACACACACACACACACACACAATCATCAAGGTTTATACTCAATCTCTATATCAGGCTACATCTTCATCCTTTCTCACCTCTTGTGCACATACACACATACTGTCTGTATGTCCCCACAGACATACAGACACACACTGATGACAGAGTGGGATTGAAGGCATCAAAGCCCTCTTATCCTGCTTTGCCTGCCTGATCAGCTCTGCTGGGAGGATTGGAGTGGAATTGGCTGGGATTAGCTTAACACTGCCATGTGGCATTAAGCACATCACCCTGCCAAATGACATGCAGACACATCCACACATATGTGTGTAATGTTTCTGTACTCATATTTATGGTTCCTCCGTGGCTGCAGAATATAGAGTGAGAATATGTTAAAGTGTTATCAACAAAGGAGTGGCCATGTGCATGTGAAAGAGCTCCTGTTGGCCAAAATGTCTAAGTGCAGATGGTCGACAGGGGAGACAGCAGTGGAGAATCCCTCCTGTCTGTTTACTGTACTGAATATGCTATAAGTGTAGCTTTCTAACAATAGGTTGCTTGAGTAAACCACTTAAACACAGCAAACTGCTGTCAGATTGTTAAGAATTTTAAGTTGAATGGCATTAAATGCATAACAGAAATCAGTAACAATATGGTGAAGTCTAAATCCAGAGCCGTGCATTTTTGGACAGACAAGGAGACACAGTTCATGATGTGAAAACATGGAATGGCGACCTGTTCAAAAAAGTGGCAGAACAGCTGGACCATTCTTGATTGTTTGGTTTGTGACGTAATAGGTCAACTGGAAAAGGTCTAACAAGCTGATAGGGGGTATATCGCCACCTATAGTAGCGGAGTCGGATGTACTTTGGTCAATAATTTCTTTATTTAATTTTTTTAAAATTTTATATACTTTATTAATCCCTGAGGGGAAATTCAATTTTTTCACTCTGCATGAAGTGGAGAGATGTCAGAGTGGGGCTGCCCATGACAGGTGCTCCAAGCGGTTGGGGGATTCGATGCCTTGCGCAAGGGCACCTCGGCAGTGTCCAGGAGGTGAACTGGCACCTCACCAGCTACCAGTCCACACTCCATATTTTTTTGGTCCGGACGGGGACTTGAACAGGCGACCTCTGGTTCCCAACCCAAGTCCCTATGGACTGAGCTACTGCTCAGAGGAAATTGATTTTCCTCCCGTGCATGTTCACTGGGACAAGGACAATAGTCCAATTAAATGGCCTTGTCAAACTATAACTGTAGCTCCACTCAACTGTGCATGTAAACATAGTCAGTGTTTTCACCCAGGAGGAGTGTATAAGTGTGTAACCCATGCTAGTGGTGTTACTACCTGTCTCAGGTTGACTGCTGTTACTGGCCTATTGTTACTGATTGTTAGAATAGAGAGATATCAAAAGCAAAAGACTCTGATGCCAAATGTATCTTCTGAAGTAATATGGAAACTGCTTCATCCTTGTCACCCTGTATTAATCTTCCAGAACTCAGTCTCCACCTCATTCATTCCTCCTGTTATGCATCTGTGCAGTCTCAACCCAATCACCACAATAAAGGTCTGCATTGTACAATTTTGTAAATTACAAAAATGTAACACTTGTAAATTATAATGTAGTGGATATCTTGACACTTTATTTTCCTTCACATTACAACAACATTGTATTTAACATGTAGTATAAAACTATTTGGTTATGGTAAGGAAACCTCATGTACCTGCTTTTAGTGCCACAATGGCAGTGCAGCCAGCACACAGTGAAATGAGTGGGTCAAGCTCACTAGGGTTTAGGTAAGGTCAACATCCTTTCTTATTATGTGAAACCAAAGGTATTAGTATATACTGTGGCTTGCCAGAAGCTAGTACGGCTGTAAGGCCTAGTGATCATTAAGTCCCCTAGACTTGACAGCCAGTACTACCTGTCCTTATATAAGATAAACACTAATTATTGACCTGTGTAAGTTAGTCCAAATTTGAAGCACATGCTCTCCAGGTATATCTTTTAGCTAAATTAGGGGCGTGTCAATATGGATGGCAATATTAGTCTGCCACTCTGTCCATAACTCTGCTTCAGTCAGTGATTGCCATGGAGACACTGAGCGACAGGCTGCCAGTAGCCGGCTCAGGTGGCAGCAGCTGTTTGTCCATGGCGGCTGCTAAATGCACCCTGTCTGTCTTCACTGCTGCTGTTGCAATCATGATAAGGTGCACCTTAATGCTGATGATATGAGTCTGATCTGAGTCCTGTTGCTCACTGTGCTCTGAACAATAAAGCAGAAATCCACAAAATACAAATAACTACAGCAAATAATGAATACAAATTAAATGTCGACAAGAGGCTTTCATACCACCTGTCCAAAAACATGCAAATCCACAATCAATACATCAGTTCAGCCAACACATTAGTAATCATTGACTCAATAACTGATAAAGTATTTGTCAAATCAATATCAAAGCAGACTGAAGGGAGCACTGTTCAATTAGAGCAGAGAGTAAAGCAATGAACAAATTAATGTATTCTTGGCACACACACTCATACCGGACCAATGATTTGTGTTTACACTGGAATACACACTTATCGGTGGAAATGTTCACACACAATACAGTAAGCTTTAGTGGTGATTATAATGAGACAAGGAGCTAAACCCAAACACACAGAGGCACAAACATACACACAAACACACAGACGCACAGACACACACACACACACACACACACACACACACACTAAGCATGCCACTTACCAGCCACGTCCCTGCTGCTGTCTCTCAACTGTGCATATATTCCAGCGTGTGTGTGTTTTGGTGAGTATGTTAGAGGACAGGGTTCTAACACACTATCCAGCCCTCAGTCAGAGCCATGGTAAACGTCATCATCAGCTAACAATAGATCCTGTTGGAAGGAGAGCTAAGCAAGCGGCTGGATGCAGGACAATAATAGGCAACCTCTCCTCAGGTAGGAATGGATGGAGGGAGGAAGGGATCTTACAGCGCATGCCTGGCAGAAAATCCCTGGGTATTATAACATCACATGACCACCTATCCTCCGTCAGTCGCAGAGCCAGTCAAGGAGATGAAAGCAAGGAGAGAAACAGGCAGAGAGAGGACACGAGTGAATGGGTGGAGGGGGGCGACGTCACAGTTGTGCACAATTCCTCCTTTTCATTACGGTGACAGAGACACAGGGAGGAGGCATGAGCCAATAAGACTTGAGGACCATCTGCTGGTTGAAACCCCTCCCTGAGCAGAAAAGCCAACACTAACAGAGGCAAACATGGAAAGGAGAGACAAAGGAAAAGCCCAGAGAGAGAAGCAAGAGATCAGCCTACAGACAGCAAGAGAAAAGGAATAAAAAAGTATTTAGCCTACTTTGTTTAAAATAAACACAGTGAAACGGAAAGGATATAAAAAGCAAGAAAATCTCAGTAGGTCACAGGCTTATATCAAAAAATCGATCGTATCATCTAGATGCAGAGAGGAGGTTGTATGTTTTCTGTTTGGGACAGGTGCTAGATAACATTCACTCCAGGAAAAAATGGACTGACCCCATGTGCAGTTTTGAATCTAAACATATTCTATCCTTTGTCATGTAAACCAATTACCCGATAACACAGTGCATATGACACTTTTTTGGGAGCTTTAATGTCAATTTTTATGTCTCCACACTGGCAACAGCCATGGCCAGAGGCATTGTGTTTTCAGGTTGTCTGTCCGTCCCATTTTTGTGAATGTGATATCTCAGAACACATTGAGAGAATATTCTCACATTTGGCACAAACATCCACTTTGAGTAAAGGCTGAATTGATTTGAATTTGGAGGGCAAAGGTCAAAGTTCAAGGTCACTGTGACCTTATCCATTGAGAAAATGTTCATATGTGTATATGTATG